CTAGTAAGGCACTTGTTACTACTAGCGTGGCACTTGTTCCTAGTAGCGTCCTTGTTACTACTAGTAAGGCACCTGTTACTACTAGCGTGGCACTTGTTCCTAGTAGCGTCCTTGTTACTACTAGTAAGGCACCTGTTACTACTAGCGTGGCACTTGTTCCTAGTAGCGTCCTTGTTACTACTAGTAAGGCACCTGTTACTACTAGCGTGGCACTTGTTCCTAGTAGCGTCCTTGTTACTACTAGTAAGGCACCTGTTACTACCAGCGTGGCACTTGTTACTACTAGCGTCCAAAGGTGATGCATTTCGTCCCGATGTTTCGATCCAGCCTGGTCTCCCGAGGTCCGAAGAGAATGCCGAGGAGATTCGATCCATCCGCGCTTACTCCATGACACAGTTTTGGGGGGTTTTTGTTTCCTCTACCATGTTATATGTTTTGCGCCCAAAACCCAGCAACAACCTTCTTTTTCCAAGAATTGTGCAGTTGATTTCGCTTTCTGCAGTGCGTGCTAGGTGAGCTTTGAGGTTGTCACTTCGTGTCATGAGGACAAGATGAGTAGTGGGGAACGTGTTGGCCATGATTGCTGGGTCATGTTTGGGGGGGAGGCTTTCCTGCTAGCTCGGCTGTGAGGAGGGAAAGGATGGCGCCAAGATGTTGCTGCGGATGATGAACCTGGAAGTCAAGAACAGGCATGCCCTTAAGCATGCCTTCAACCTAATAGCGATGGCCTCCAACCTAATAGCGAGTGAAGTCAAGACCAGGCACAGAAGATCAAAGACTTAATGACCACAAGTGCATGTGGGGTGCAGGAATTACACGGGCTAAAACCGGATTTCCTTCAGAACCGGTCCCACAATAGGGCGATTTGTTCAAGGCATCCATGTTCAGAATCTCGCTGCTGGGTGCATCTGGGCACTCGGGCGCTCTACCTGAACTCCAGGCAGCTCGGTGCTGTCACCGACGTTGGGGTGATAGAGGGTATGCTTCCGGCTAAGCCCCTTTCAATTTGCAAGGAACGTGTGGACACAGTGCTCCACCCTTGGTTTGGGCAACTCTTCCTTCACACCCTTGGTTATTGGCATAAAGTCTCCAGTTCGCCACCAGATTTCTTGCCGAAAGACATGCCACATGACCTGAGACAAACCTCTCATCTCTGATCTCTCCTCTCTCCTCTCTCCATCTCCATCTCCCTCCCTCCCTCCCTTCCTCGCTCTCTCTCTCTCTTTTTCACCTCGTGATGAACAACTTGCACCTCGCTGACAACTGTCAGGCAGTCGCATCGCCGTGAAAAGCTGCTGCGTGGAGTCTTTGATGCCTTCCTGTGCCAGGCGCTACCGCTACCGAGTCCAAACTTCGGCTCCAAACCCGCCGCACTTTCTGCGAAAAGCGACAGTTGAGGCCAAACGATTGAGTGAAATCGGATGCAATCGGATGATCCGATTCGGATCGCCGTTTCACGATGGTCCAGTCGCTTCGCTTCCTGGGCGCTTTTGGCCGATCAGAGGTCAAACTTGCTCAACGGGCTCGGCAGAGCTTCACCAAGGAGGAGGCCCAGCTGGGGGCGACGGGTCGAGGTTTGGCCGCAAGGGCCACAGAAACAAGTTCTGGGAGGCAACACGTACATTTTTTGATTTGCATATGTTCCACCTTTGCAAACTCCACTCAAAAATCAGTGTTTTCCGAAGGTGGTTAGAAATCCACGTCCTTGATCTTGGTGCGATTGAGTATCAACACAGATCACAGCAACCGCTTTTTCCACGGTGCACTTCCTTTAGACTGCTTGAATGCTGTTGATCAGAAAAGAACTGAAGCCGTGAACGTGTACATACTGTGCGAGTGAATTTTCTTCCGAGCCTGCTGTGTTTATGCTGGAGTTACTTGGCCTCTGGTAGGGATCCTTGGGGTTAAAGACACTCCATCTGCTTGATTTCGGACGGTCCTAGGCGGAGGTTGTGAATCAGGCTTTCAAGCGCTGTTCAGGCCGGATGGTGGGTTCGGGATGTGTCAATGTAGAACTTTTTGATGAGGACAATGCTTGAGACAAGAATGACCCCTGAGAAGCTTGCCTCCGGGGAAACCCACAAGAAGAATATGGATTCTGTCAAAAACCAACCTTCCCATTCTAACAGCGAAAAATACTTTGACAATCCTTTTTCATCAGGCACTCCAGCTGCCAGTTTGATTGTCATTCCCCTGTCTCTTCGAGGACACCACCAAGAGCTCGCCAGCGAGAACGCGCTGTTTTCGTGTCTGGTGGATCTGGGGCTCACAGGCGCAGCTTTGCTCGTTGCGAAACGAGCTACGAACAAAGGGCATCGCTACTAGGAGCGATCGGACGCTACGAACGGGGCTCCTGGCCGTACTACTAGTAACAAGAAGCTACTAGTAACAGGGGCATTGCTACTAGTAGCAAAGGATGCTACTAGATGCTACTGGTAGCTTGTTGTTACTACAGGTGAAACGATTCCCAGTGAAACGACTCCCAAGGAAGCTTCTAGCTACTAGTAGCTTCTTGTTACTAGTAGCAATGGCTTCCAACCTACTTGCGGCGGCCTCCACCTAATAGCGTCCTTGCTCCTAGTAGCGATGCGCTGCCAAAGGTCTCTTGTGCGCTTTTTTTGGTTTGCAGTAAGGGGTAGGGTCTCTACTCCCATCCGGCAAACCTGCGTTGATGGATCTTGCAAGGCGATAGCAGTCATCTTCCACCCCTGCATGCTCTCGCCAGAACGACACCTCGGGTTCCCCTTTTCCCTCCTTCCGTCGGCTTCGCCGGGTTCGCTGTCGGCTTCGGTCTGCTTCAGCTAGGCACCTCGGTGGCTGAGACCCTCGGAATGCAGTGGGCGCTGTTGGGCGGGCGCTTGTGCAGGGTCTTGAGCTAAACTACTCCTGACTACCAGTACACTTGTTTGTTTCTGGATCGTTCTTTTGACTATCCATAAGGATTTTATTATCCTTCCTCTAGACCTTCATTAATTTCTCTTTCATTTTTCAAATTTATTTGTTTCTCTGTTTTGAGACCTTTATACAGACGTCTTCATTGATCGTACTCGAGCTGACTTTTGACTTCTGGTAGGTTCAGATCAATTTGGGAAGCAGTGTGATCTCTTTGTTGCCCAATAAACAATGTTGGCTACTAGGGGCTTCTGGCATCGCTACTAGGAGCAAGGACGCTACTAGGGGCTCCTGGCATCGCTACTAGGAGCAAGGACGCTACTAGGGGCTCCTGGCCGTACTACTAGGAGCAAGTAGCTACGAGTAACAAGAAGCTACTAGGGGCTAGGAGCAATAAACCACTGGCCAGTGGGACAGGGGATCACATCTCCCAATATATCCTTGGAGGGGACATCGTGGGCTGCGGTTGACCTGGGCTCTAAGCTTTTGGAATCGGTTTGGGGCTTAGCGGGCTCAGCTTTTCATGGTCAACCAAAGTACTAGCGATGGCCTCCAGCCTAATAGCGCTGGCCTCCTACCTGAGAGGGATGGCCTCAAGTTTCTTCTTGACAGCTTAGGAAGCAAGAGGTCTGGCGCCAGATCTCTGTGGCCTTTGGAAACCGGGTGCCCATCGTGGATGAAGAGGCACAACACAGTGGGGACGTGCGGCTCAAGACCTGCGGTTCTGCCTTGGCGGTGTCGTAGTGTCGTAGCTGTGTGAAACCTGCGTGAATCGTGCGCCGCGGTGCTTGTGTTTCGGTGAAGGAACCGGTAGCAAACGAAAGCTCCTGGACTCCTAGTGGCGAGGTATTTGTTTTGACTCCCTATATTCTTTCCGTGCGCTGTGCACCTCGTATTTGATTCGCTCGTAGGAAGGTGCTTCAGTCGCTCTTCATTTTGCCCGCGTTCCCCGGTCCCCTCTTTCTCTCCTGACCTGTTCTGGTTGTTGTTCGGGCTCCAAGCAAACGCGTTCATTGCTGTCGGCCCTGCCGAAGCTCGTGCCCAAAGACTACGTGGACAATGAAGTGGCAAAGCTCAGGCGCGAGGTCATAGAGTGGAAGGACCAGGTGAAGAAGGAGCTTCAAGAGCTGCGACACTCGAATCAAGTAAGCTCTATTTTGGGGGACTTCAGACCTGTCGCAACATTCGCAAAGAAGATGCTTTTTGGCTTTAGACTTCTTGCATGTTGCCACTAACTCTCGTTCTTTGTTCTTTGGGCTCCCAGGCAATTTCGGAATGTTTTGGAGATTCACCAAGCTTTGTAATGCTTCGCACTCCCGTCAGGATGCCTGCAGGGAGGTGGGAACGAAGCCACCATCCAAGTGGTTTTGGACGACCTTTGGCCCAGCAAAGCGGTGCAAGATGACGCAGGTGCAGATGCAGCTTCAGGAGATGCAGATGAAGAGGTTGCAGATGCAGCTTCAGGAGATGCAGATGAAGAGGTGGTGGACATGGACATGGAGGCAGGAGGGATCAGGAGGGATCAGGACAGGGAGGTCCGGTAACCTATGCTGAAAGCCGCGTTATAGTAGGCCTACTATATCCTTTGGTGCTGCTCTTCAGGAGATGATTTGCTTTGACCGAAAGAGTGCTTGGAGCATTCCTTTGGTGCTGTCGAAGCACAATTTCCTGGAGGGCATTTTCGGGGCCTTCCTGATCATCATGAATGCCACCATGCAGGTCTTGTTCACAGTCATCATCATGTCTCCAGACTTCTTGGGAGATGGCCTTTCCGTGCAGGATGCACGCACCTGGCGTCTCAGGTTCGCGCACGATCTCGATTTCGTGGGCCTGGACCATAGGAATTTGGCTTCGATCGTGTGCGACGAGGACGGTGCCTTGATTTTCTCAACAGCTCAAGTGACTCAGCTGGTGGAGATCAACAACTACTTGGGACTTGAGAAGTTGTCCTTTCAGCTGCCCAATTTCCAGTCTTTCGGCATCCTTTGGATCCTATGGGGCCGGGCACGGGAAATGTACATGCCGTTTCTGCAGATTTGACTAAGAACTATTTGGGTGTTGCGTGTGAGGCCTGGCATGTTGCTCGCAGTGCTTTGCATCCTTCTCTGGAACATTTGCATCTTTGGCGAGCTGCGGAGTGTGTCGTATGTTCTGAGAGGCATTTTGCTGAGCGCTGGGGCATCAACATCGGCGTTGAAAGGCTTCTAGGTGAGATAGCATCAACTCTTCCGTTTTTTCTGAAGTACGAGCAGGTGAGCAATGGTGAGCATGTTACCGGCACATTTTTTGAATCCAATGAAGTTGTGTGTATCTCCAGGACAAGCCATCAGGAAGAGAACGCGCGAGAGAGAGAGAGAGAGAAAGATGCAAACCCGTCCGCGTGAAATCGTTTTTTGAGTTGTCCTGTAGCCTAAAACACATAGCCTAGACACTTGTTTTCTTTGAAAATCCCTTGAGCAGCTGCTTCTGCCTGCTTCGATTACGCTCCCAGCTCAGGCTTGTCGTGGCAGCGAATCTCGATCATGACAATTGTGTGTGTGGGGCGTGCAGTGGTAGCGGGTGCCCTGCTGATCTCAGGCACCATCTGGCTGGGCAACACAACATCCATTACGGAGCTCATGTTGAACTCGGTTGCCCTAGAGGCGCCCTGAAAACAGCAAAACAGTTCTGAAAGGTCTGGATTTGACCATTCATCAATCCAGACATATCCAGACCTGCAATCTCGGAGCCGATGGATGGAATCTGTTTCTCGTCGCTGTTTCTTCCGTCGATCGATCCTCGGTCCCATGGGTCGCTGCGTTTCGCATCGTTTCGCCGTTCCCTCGGTCGCCTCTGTCGTTGCTCGACAAGGCCGTCCTCCACATTGACGAGTTTATATGTCGGGCGCTGGTGCCCACCAACATGCAGCAGAAGATCAAGAGGTTGCCGCCAATGCAAGTGAGGACGAGCCGACGCTGGAAGAGTGTGGAAAATGTTCTCCTCGCTTGTATGCTCGCGGCTGCGCTTTTGGTGCCCTACATGACAGTGCTTGTGCCCCTCAGAGAGGCAATGCTCTCCGTGAAGACAGAGATGTGTGGAGGGGACATTGATTTTGTCGTCACTGGGACGTCTGGCCAGATGTACACGTCATTGTCTGCGAGCGCAGGGGCACCACCCTCTTCAGATGTAAGAAATGCTGAGCTCGCAGTTAACGAAATTCTTTCTGGCGAAGCCAAAAGGAATGGGATAACAAAGTATTCAATCTGGGAGGGAGGGTCAATCGGATTATTGCTCGCTCGCAGACAGCAGCTATACCCAGATTCAAGAAAGAGTTCTACGTTTGCCGTGAGAATGACCGGAACAATAACCTCACTGCAGTTTTGCAGGGTGTGGGTATGCGGGTTGGCATGCCAGAAGCAAAGACCTGCGAAGAGCTGGCCTATTTCTGCAGTGAAGAAGCCCCTGAGTGGTTGTTCACGATGGAAGCACTTTGGCTTCGCAACACTTGCCCCAGACATTGCGGGTGCACTCGGCCACTGTCATCTCCACTGCTGAAGACTCCTATGTTTGGCTGCACAAGACAATGCATTCAAGAGTCCTATAACTTCAGCATGTACGGATCCAGCCCCCTTTTCGGACAGCCGCCCAATTTCACGACCGGCTGCAAGGACCAGCTTCCTGGAGCTTCTTGGCGCCATTTCTGGGACAACTATTTACCCATGCTTGACAACTACCACGGCTCTGAATATTTCGGAACAAGACAGAGCTATCTTGAATTTATAAACTGGGCAAAGGTAGCTGGCTGCCCGGTTATAGCCACACAGCCTCAAGATTTAATGGGCTCCTTGGCGTGCAGAGGTAGCTCACGCTACTTGCCCCTGGCATGGTTTTGCCCGGAGACTTGCGGCTGTAGTGCATCTGGCAACCTTGAGAGAGACCACTTTTGCTTCGCCTACGACTATTGCCCGATGCATGTCCTGCCCAATGAGACTGAGCAGGCATGGCAGCTTATCAGGAAGTATGACTTGCTGCGGACGCTCATGAATCCAGAGCTCTTGTTCAATGACGACGCTTGGATATAACCTGTGATGTACGAGCGGCTGGGCAAAGACCCTTTGCAGCTTCTGTTTTTGTCGAATGTCTACTTTGTTTCAAATGCATGAATTGCTTCACCTTCGTGTTAGTAAATGCCAAAGCGCCCAAGGTGCCAGCACTGGAGTAGCCAGACATGTCGAGACTGATTCAGTTTCACCAAGTAAAGCTGAAGGACACAGATGCCACCGAAAACAGGCCTGCCTATTGCGTCAGGATGTTTAGTACTACAATGTACTACATGTGCGACCTTGATGTCGCTTCCCTTGCGCATGAACTGGTTTTCTTTTTGTTTGCATGCCTTCCTATGGCTCAGACAAAAAACATGACAAGCAGAGAAGGATATTTGGCTTAACTTGCTTACTCTGCAGCTTACAATTAGGCCCAGATGTAGTGTGTCAGTGCATACTCTCCAATGGTTGCAGGATGCCAAAGTTGGTGCAATCATGGGTTCGATGGAAGGAGGCAGAGAGTAAGCAATCATGTTCTTATCCTATCGACGCTTATGAGATCCTATGACTTTAAAAGGTAATTTTATATAGTTTTTGTATGCCTACAGGTAGCTTCTTGCATAGTGTTGAAATTCACCTCATCCCTATGGACCCCGTAGCGTGTACTCTCAAGGTAGAGTTAAAAGGTACGCTTAGCGGTAGTTCAGGGTTAGCTAGGAAGTTAGAGCTGATCCTGTAAAATACAGGTTATCAGCCGTAGGCTAACTAGAATAGAGCTATGGACCCCATGGACGATGGCGTCGGGCCGAACACCTACGGAAATGGTTTTGACATTGTTCCAAGTGTACCCAGTGGTATGGACGCAGTTCAGCAACATGAGCAGGCAGTTGCTCAGGTTGCAGCAATGGATCCACGGGTTGCTTCGGAGGTATACCAACAAATGTTAAGCAGTGGTGGCAGTGTTACTCTTCAAGAAGCAACACAAGCTACCCTAGCAGGTATGCCGTCAGCCACCGTAACGGGTGCGCCAACTGTAAACAACATGTTGGCAATGACCCGGTTCAACGTCGTCAATGTTAATACTTTAACGGTTGATGAAGAACGACGACGGGAACTACAACAACATGACTTTTTACTCAGTGAGCAAGCTAGGAGGGAAGCAGAACTCGAAGCATTACGTTTCAGGCAAATATATGAAAGAGAAGCTTCCGAATCCATATTAGCAACAAAAGCCGCAGCAGAGCTAGCAATCCAGAATGTTCAGCAAAGGGCTCAACAGCAGGAACAAAGTGTTCAGCAAATGGCTCAACAGCAAGACAACGTTGCGATCAAACGGTTGCAAGGTACGTTGGAAGAGCAGCGAGAACATTTCCAGCAACGGCTAACACAGGCAACTATGGCTCACGACAAAGTTGTACCAGAGAGGGATGCCTTGGCAGCAGAAGGCAATGTTTATGTTGAAAGGTTGAAATTAGAACATGGTCAGTATGTCGAGCAGAATGAATCTAGATTTAAGGCGGCAGTAGAGGCCACGGAACAAGCCAGATCTACATCAGCCGAAGAAGCCAGTGAGGCAATAGATCTAGAATTTAAAGCGAGAGGAACTGACGAAATCATTGGCAATTGCACAAGCCAAAATAAGGACGCTTGTTAGCAAAATGGAAGCAGCCAAGAAACAGAACAATTCTGACAAGGAGTGTCAAGAGCAAACCATTGTTGAACTCAGAAAGGACAATGCAATGTTGAAAGGTGAGATGGACGAGCTCAGACATGTTGTGCAGGTCTTGTCCAACGCAAACGAGGATGCAAAGCCTAAGGAAGCAGAGCGCCAAGATGCAGAAAGACAAGAAACAGAGCGCAAAGAAGTTGAGCGCAGAGCACAAGTCGAAAGCCCCATTAAACCAGGGCCGCAGCATCCTGAGCCACCTCCACCTCATGCTCAAGCTGACACTTTCCCTATTGGTCAACCTCGTTCACTTGGACCTCTTCGTACGGAAGGCTCAATTCCTGCAACCGTAGAGGGTTCGCCCCCAGAAGTTGGCGGAATTCCCGTGAAGACAGCAATGGATGCATCAGCAGCCAATCGCAACACTGGATTTCCTTCAATGTTTTCTGGAACAGGGGCGGCTGCAACAGAACAAGCTACAGCTTCGACAGGTTACAAAAAGTTTGGAACCTCCGATCCTTGGGCAGACTACATGAAGAAGTCGGCACAGTACAACTTCAGCGATGACCCTTTGTTTAAAGGCTCCTTTAACCAGGAAGCCAAACAAAACAAAGAGGACTGCAAAGACGAAGGGCCGGCGTCTCAGGTTAGGACTCCCCAAGAACAAGATCTAGGTGAATTCATTAAAAGGGCCTTGCTAGAGGGGTTTAAGGGTGCTAAAAGCAAAGACCAGGATAAACCCAAGGCAAAGGAGGCCGATAAAACAGACCTTCCCGAATGTCCAAGTCCTGACAGGTGCCGCGCTTGGAGGGCCGCAGTTCGCGAAGCGATCCGGTCCGCGTCCGATGACCCAGACGCCGCGTTCGCGTGGGTGCTTGAGGTTTACGCTGTCCGTGAAGACAAGGCAAAGGTTTGTTCCGAGCTCGCAGACACAGGCAAGTTTCGGACCTTAGATACAAAACTACTTGCCGCTTTGACTAAGGTCGCCAAGGGCGAGTTGGCTCAGCAAATCCTTAATTATAAGGAGTCTGAGGCACAGCAAAGTAGGATTGATCGTGGTCGTCAGGTTTTGCTCATGTTTGAAGTCCATTTTAAAACTAGTGAAGAAGCGTGTGCACTGTATGGTACTGAGGATCTTCTTAAAGTCTCGCCTGACAGCGACGACTTAAAGGCCTTTCTTAGGAAATGGGAAAGTGTTTTGACTGGAATGAGTCATGTCCCTGACCCAGCAACACTTAAAGATCTTTCCTATAGAGAGGTTAGGAAGTCCCGTAAACTCAGATTCGACCTTGATGTCTATGAACGTGCTTCAGAGGGAAGTAGTGACAGAAGTTATGAGTTCCTTATTAATTCTGTCAGACGGTATCTTGATAGAGAAAGGCTTAGGACCAATCGAGAGAAATCTCTCAATCGCATTCAGCTAAGTATGCAAACCCAGCACCACATGACAAACGCAGACGAAGCCCAAGTTATGGCAAACGAAGTACGAAGGGTGACAACAGCAATCAATGCTATGAGTTCGCCAAAACTGGCAAGTGTAAGTATGGAAGCAAATGCAAGTACTCACACGACTCTAGCGCTCGTCCCCGCTCCCTTAGCCGGGAGTCGTCTCGTTCTCGTAGTGCTAGTTCAAGTGGTCGCTCTTCTTTCAGGTCAAGCCGATCTAGGAGCTCATCGAGACCGTCTTCCCGTAGCAGTTCTAGAAATTCATCAAGAAGCTCAAGTAAGGGCAGAAAATCTGAAAAGCCATGCAGGTTCTTTGCCAAGGGCAATTGCAAAAGGGGTGACAAATGTCCACTCAAACATGGCGACACGGCAACGCCGGCCCCACGCAGACGAAGCCCATCTCCCGCAGCTAGAAAGTCCAAAGACAAGAAGTCTAAGAAGGATAAAAAGGACAAAAAGAGCAAAAGGGAAAAGAAGGAAAAGAGTCCAAAGGCCAGTCCATGTATTCAAACAGGTTTTGCATTGTCTTGCTTAGCAGCAACAGCTACTCGGACCCATGAGAGCAAAGACTACTGGGAATTCTCCAAGGATGGCGCGGAACTGATTAGGCACCATTTAAAGGCTAGAAACAGGTCGTTTCTGCCAATACGTAAATCCTGTCCTGTGGAATCATCTAGGTTGGAAAGCCAGTTTACCATGGTAGAAATCAATTTTCCATGTGTTGCAAGAAAAGAGAATTCGCTTTGAATTCAAACCAGAGGTACACACCTTCCCTGTTTGGAAGGACATGTACAGGCATCAGAAAACGGAACCTGTTCCGGACCGCTGAGGAATGCCCAAAGTCCCGCGAGTGTGACGCTAAGGATGCCATTTTGGCAGCGGAGTCACTTAGGCAGACGCTCGAATCTATGGATAGCGAGGAGCCTGCATGTGATTTTCTTTGTGTCCATTCCCCAGAAGGCCCCGATGACTTGCGTTGCACAAAGTGCAGAACAGTCACCGGTGAACAGGTACCCTCTTGTGCTCGCGTAACTGCGACGCCAAGCACTGTAGGCATGGAGAAGTGGCTAGGAGATACTGACACAGACCAGGACATTGTAGGTAAAGGTTCCAAGACTGTGAACAGAGCCACTAAAATCTTCAAGTCCAACGAACCAATTTCTACTGCCAATGGTCCTATCACCGCCGAAGATGTAGTTGAGGTGATTCTTCCAGGGTTGTGTGAATCCTTTAGCCCCTACATTCTCCAAAGTACTCCCTCTACACTCTCTATTGGTTTGAGATGCTTGGAACAGGGGTATGATTTTGTTTGGGGAAAGGATACCACTCCCATTTTCTTGCGACCTGATGGACAATGTGTTAAATCAAACTTCAAGGTAGGGTTCCCTACATTGATGAAACACGCGCCCCGTTTTCTATTCCTGAGTCACTAAGGATTCGTTTCACTAAGGTACTCGACTCCATCCACCAGTTCACCATCGACCAAGGCTTTGCCATGGCCAGTCGGGAGTCCGAACCTGAGGAGGAAGAGCAGGACGATGAGGCTGGCGTAGCTGCCAATGCCGATGAGGAACAGGAGGAGGAAGATGATAGTGACCCAGAAGTAGAAGTACCATTTGATTTTGAAGATGTTCCCGTAGCAGGGGAAAAGACTGAAGAATTTGAAAGAAGCAAAATCAGGGGAGCACCAATTCACACACAGACCAAAGAATCCCTACTGTGATGTTTGTAGTGAAGCTAAAATGCTTGCGCCCTACGGTAGAAGCGTAGGCGGATCACAACATGTTTTAGCACGTGGTTTTGGAGATCACATTGTGTGAGATCATGTCATTCCCAAAGACATTGAAGAGGGAATTGAAGGTCAGACATCCATGTTAGTGATCAAAGATGTGTACACGCAATATCGATGTGTTTATCCTTCGGAAAA